TATACATGTTTTTACCTAATTTTTTAAGTTTTAAGATGAATTAATTTTTTATATGGTATTTGTTTTGAACCCATTTTATGGGCTTATAACAAGCGGTGATAGACTAAAGAGTTAAAGATAATCTTATCATCCTATCTCCAACATCCAGACTCCTATGAAGACTTTACACCTACAGGTAATTTCTTCTCTAAATAAAAGGTTAAGCCTTTCAGATACACACTAATCACTATGAATTCCCTGTCTATTACTGTGCACACATCCTACGCCTTTGGTTATATGCCAATATTATTATTGTACACAGTGATCCGTTATTCCTTACAATGTCTCTTTCATGGACTCGTGTGAACGTACTGATTCAAGATACAAATATCAACCTTATATTGGATATATAGATCCTCTGGGGTCAAACAATATTAGATTTTTTATGAATCAATAAAGGATTTATAGTTTAATTCTTGCCACCATAATTTTTTTTATTAAAAAATATGTTTCAAATCATAAATAGAGCTCTTTGTGCGATGGGCTTGTATAAATTATTTATGTTTCAAACCTTAAAAAAAAAAAAAAGAGAGAGTTCTTGATATAAGTGGTGGTCAATGAACATGTATAAATTGTTAAATTTTCAAATCCTATTTTTTTTTTTTTTTTTTAAAAACTCTTGATGTAGTAAGTTTATAAATTATCGTTTGAGTAACTTTTTAAATTTATTATCGAATTTGTGATTATACAAAACAACTACAGAACCCGGGCTTAAAAGGTTGGTATTTTTTTTTTTTTAAGCATATTCCCGTCGAAGAATGAAGAATTGAAGATCCGTTATCACAAAAATTAAAAGATACAACGTGATAAGCATGTTAATCATCATCCGACAGATTAACGATCATCATTCAACACCACCATTATAGTGGCGGCCTGGCGGGGACTGAACTTTTTTATTTTTAAAAAAACTAAATAGATTACATTATCCTTTACTCCTTGATGTTATAATTTTTATTACCTTTATATGACTGTATTCATATTAACGGGGGGAAATTAAGCGGTTTGAAAGACTAATTTAATTTACGAATAGACTCAATTCAAAATCAAATTAATCCGATTTGTTAGAGTTTTGGATACCAATTAATATCTAAAAAATATTAAGGATTATGATATGATCTTTTTAAAAAATAATAATATGTGCGACACATTGTTAGTCGAAACAGTAACCATTTTGCCACGCTTAAATAAAAAATTTACCAGACTGCCACGCCAACAGTAAAATTTTCCAGAATGTCACGCAGCATAATTCGCTATCATGTGTAGCGAATTATTCTTGCTGATATGGCAAGTCACAATTGGTTGGAATAATTCCCTACATAGAGTAGCGAATTACATGGTCAAGATTCAGCCTACACAGTCAGCAACATGACACATGTTAAGCAGGCAATAATTTGTTATACTGTGTAGCGAATTATGCAAGATGATGTGGCGAAGTTTTGTTAGATGAGTAATTCGCTGCATAGTATAACGAATTATTGCCTGCTTGACACGTGTCCTATTACTGACTGTGCACTCTGATATTTTGACCACGTATTTCGCTACAGAGTATAACAAATTATGCCGCGTGACATTTCGAGAAATTTTACTGTTGGCGTGATAGTGTAATAAATAATTTGATGAAGTGTGACAAAATAGTCACTGTTCTTTGTTATTCAAGGATAAATGTGAGGGTATATTGAAAATAATTTTTAAATACATTTATATAATGTTTTTTAGCGAGTATTATTTCTACACTTGAAATGAGAGAGAAATAATCCTTAATATTTAGATGACAGAAACTTTCTGTTAGAGACACAATAAGAGATGAAAGAAAATACTATGATGGAATGAAAAAAATTATTTTGATGAAAGAGAATGTCTTTTTGTGTCTGTATCACTATCAGAAATATTAATTACAAATGTTTCTTTTAAATTATGAGCTGGCTCGGCAGGAAAGTTGTTTGTTTTTTCCTGTGTCGTAATGATACAATAGCGCGGGCGAAAAGACAGCACAAAGCCAGTTGGTGGCATACTTCCAAACTAAAAAATAAAATATAGTGAAATCATGACTCATAGAACCGGTAAATGGATCTGCGCCGAATCAATGTGTAAATAACGAGGGAAATGTGTTCTTTCTGTTACACAATTTATTTCATGTAACACAAAAAATAATGTGATTTATTTTTTTTCTCTTCTTTTTTCAAAGTGAATTTTATCTATTTTTTATGTGTTGTATGAGACAAATTATCTCATGCATCATGAAAAAAATCAAACCCCAATAATAAAGACATTTACATATTTATATATAGAATAATATTGAAAATTTCTAAGCAATCATTTTAATACTTTAATTATCAATAAAAAGTATAAATGTATTTAAAGTATTAAAATACTAAATATATTTTTTAACAAAAATTTATTAAACACCGTAAGCTATTATTAGAATGTTGTTCAAAAAATATTGTACAACTCGCATTCATATGTTTACCGATTCTCAATCATATTTAATATTATATCTATTTTTTTCATATATATTCTACTCATTTTTTTCAGTATTATTATATCAGGATTTCTAATTGCTCTTTATCTTTCTTTTTCTTTTTTTGAAATTATGATCTTACGATGTTGAAGAGGAATATGTGATAGGTATAGAAAATAGGGAGAGATTATTGTTAGAATTTCTTTTCTTTTTTAGTAAAGTATATTTTGAGTCCTCAACAAAAATTACGGGGCTCAATTTAATCTCTTAGAAAAAAAAATCGATTTATGATTCCACTGAAATTCAATATAGACCCATGTTAATCGTTTTGAGGTATTAATGTGAGTCTTCTTTGAGGTTGAATTTTTTTCTAAGGAATTATATTGGGTCATGTGACTGTGAGGATCCAAAAAAAACTTTACTCTTTCTTTTATAATCTCTTACAATGCTATTATGATTATTAGATTAAAATTAAATTAATAATTATAAAATAATATTAAATAATAGTGGTTAATAAGAATGATGAGATTGTAAGTTTAACTTTCGTTTATAATATATAAGAGAAATGAGTTTCTTATGTTGCATGAGATAATTTGTCTCATGCAACACACAAAACAATGGGTGAGATCCATCTTTTTTCTTTTTCTCTCTTCTTCAAAGTGGGTTTTATTCATTTTTTTTGTGTTGCATGAGAAAAATTATCTCATGCAACATGAGAAAAAACAAACTCAATATATAATAATGAGGAACAATGACAATTTTGCCACGCTTCAACAAAAAATTTATCAGACTACCACGCCAACAGTAAAATTTCTCATAATGCCACGTGGCATAATTCGTTATCTTGTGTAGCGAATTATTCTTGCTGATGTGGTAAATCATAATTAGTTTGAATAATTCGCTACAAGAGTAGCGAATTACGTGATCAAGATTCAGCCTGCACAGTCAGCATCATGACACGTGTCAAGCAGGCAGTAATTCGCTACACTGTATAGCGAATTATGCAAGATGATGTGGCAAAGTTCAGATGGATGAGTAATTCGCTACACAGTGTAGCGAATTACTGCCTGCTTGACACGTGTCATGTTGCTGATTGTGCACTCTGACATTTTGACCGCGTATTTCGCTACATAGTATAGCGAATTATGCCGCGTGGCATTCTGAGAATTTTTACTGTTAGCGTGGCAGTTAGGGGTGGCAATTCGTGTCAACATGACCCCACCCGAATTTCACACGACACGAAAAACCTCAACCCGAACACGACCCGCTTATTTTAAGGGTTGACATGACACGACACGAATAACCTTATAATGTAACCATGACCCATTATTACACATGTTAACTCGACTCGACTCGACCCGACCCGACCCGACCCGACATGAGTTTTAGAATGCTCACATTCAAAACCTGTATTTAGGCACTGATTGTACATCCAATAAAAGCCACTGCTAAGTGTATGTTATTTCTTTTAAACCACTCATTAAAATGACTATAATAACCTTATACAAAAACTATTTGTGAGTCAGAGCGGGTTAACGGGTTGACCCGAACCCGACACGAAATTTTTCGTGTCATTTTTCTTCAACCTGAACATTTAACAGGTTGACCCAAACACGAAAATTTCATATCGGGTCCGAGTCGGGTTAGCGAGTAGTGTCAGAAATTTTCACCCCCAGTGGCAGTGTGGTAAATAATAATAATTTGATAAAGTGTAGCAAAATAGTCACTATTCCTAATAATGATTATAAGCACGGTTCTCAAACCCGGAACCCGGTGAACCGGTCATCAGACCGGTTCGGGTTAAGCATTGAACCGGTCATGCATCGACCCGGTCAAACCCAGTCAAAACCCAGACAAACCCGGCCAAACCCGGTGACCCGTCGACCCGGTCGGGTTATGCATTTAAAAAAAAAATCAAAATTGTTTCATCTTATGAAAAAAATGTAAAACTCATTTTTATAATTTTATTTGCTAGTATACTCTTCTACAATGACCTCTTAGTTTCCAATACTAAAGTAATTTGTGGAATAATAAATTAGAGAATGTAACATATGTCATTTTAATGTAGTTGAATTTGAAAAATATGAGTTCAATGTCATTGAGAGGTATGTTTATGGAGATTCTGAGTTGCCATTTAAATTGACATAGTAATAGCATGCACTTTTATTTATTTATGCTTCATTTTTTAAACTTATTTAGTGAACTTTGTTTAATTTATTTTAGATATGGAAGATATAATTGAATTTATATGTTTATATTTATATATATTTTTATATATCTATATATATCCGGGTCAACCGATCCGACCAGTGACCCAGTATCCCGACCGGGTCAATGCGCGGGTCAGGTTTAACAACACTGATTATAAGCATGAAAAACTGCGAGTGTAATGTCGCATCACGAGCAAGAATGGTAAGATTCCCGGAAGTACATGTACAAAAGATTCTATGCCTATATATTAAGATATTAAACAATGCCAATCCACCTCATTGTCACGTTTTTCGGTTGTTGTGTTTGTGAGTGTGAGGAAGAGAGAGTGAGAGATGGAGAATTCCCAGTTCGACGTGATAATAGTGGGAGGTGGCGTCATGGGTAGCTCCACAGCTTACCACGCCGCCAAAAGGGGTCTTCGTATCCTTTTGCTCGAACAGTTCGATTTCCTTCACCACCGTGGCTCCTCTCATGGTGAGTCACGCACCATTCGAGTAACCTATCTCCAAGACTACTACACCCCTTTAGTAATCGAGTCCTATAAGCTCTGGCAAGAAGCTCAGGCCCAAGTTGGCTACAAGGTCTACTTCAAGGCCCATCATTTTGATATGGGCCGTTCCGACGAGCCCACTTTACGCACCATCATCGACAACTGCCGGAAACTCTCCATCCCCCACCAAATCCTCCGCCGCGACCAGGTCGCCGATAAATTCTCCGGCTGCATCGACATACCGGATAATTGGGTAGGGCTGTCCAACGAGTACGGCGGCGTGATAAAGCCCACAAAGGCAGTGGCTATGTTCCAAACACTAGCGTACAACCATGGTGCTGTCTTAAAGGACAACGCCGAGGTAACAGACATCAAGAAAGACACAGAGGGTGTCGTGGTTTTCACCGCGAACGGTGAAATGTTTCGCGGTAAAAAATGTGTGGTAACTGTGGGAGCTTGGGTGAACAAGTTAGTTAAAACGGTTAGTGGGGTTGAACTGCCAATACAACCTTTGGAGACAACGATTTTATACTGGAGGATAAAGGAAGGGTATGAAGGGAAATTCACCATCGGTGGCGATTTCCCGACATTTGCCAGCTATGGGAAGTTTTATGTATACGGAACACCAATGTTGGAGTACCCGGGTTTGATTAAGGTTGCGGTGCATGGAGGTAACCCTTGTGACCCGGATAAGAGGGTGTGGGGCCCCGGAATTATGATGGGTGTGTTGAAACAGTGGGTGGAAGAGAGGTTCATGGGGATGGTTGATTCCTGTGAGCCTGTGATGAAACAATCTTGCATGTACTCCATGACACCCGATGAGGATTTTGTGATTGATTTCTTGGGTGGGGAGTTTGGGAAAGATGTGGTTGTCGGTGGCGGGTTTTCGGGTCATGGATTCAAGATGGCTCCAGTGATTGGGAGAATATTGACTGAACTTGTGGTTGATGGGGAAGCAAATGGAGTTGACATGAAACACTTCAGGATTGGAAGGTTCAAGATAGCCCCTAAGCTTTAATAAGTATCTTCCATGTCTATCCCTTGCTCATCTCGCTTTGTCCTCTTGTGTTAATTAGTTTCTACTTTCTAGTGTCGTGTGAGTTTGTGTAGTAGTCATGATCGTTCCCAGGAAATTCTAAATAACTTCTTTGGTTTACATGATAAACCCCCACCTTCTTGTAATAAAATAAATTCATGTCAAGGTCGATTGAATCACCATGTAATAATGCAATTTTAGTCTTGCTATTGTTTTTGGCATTGATAATATATATGCTTGATGACGTGCAAAAAATTCATAATAATTCTATGACTGATGTTAGGATAAAAAAAAAAAGAATTGCAACTGTGAAATGGGTTGTGACTAAGCAGATAACATAAACTTAATTAAATATAACTAATTACATTTATTTTTCTAAACCAATACGGTCATTTTTCCTGATCTTGAGAATATGTACCAAGTTTTTGAGGTACAAGGAATATGTTCGCATCCTATGCACATCAGACAAGAAAACTCCCTTAAAATAACCATTCACTAAACATCAAATAGAAAAGCTAAGAATACAACTCTGCCGCGCGACCTACGTACCCCATAACATGGATAAGCACAAAGACACTCTTGAAAATACATGCATGGATACAACGGTAAACGACAATAATCATCATTGAAAAATATTCCAAATCATGTGTTGTTACCTTTCATACAAGACCACGATCACCCTCGGATTTTGAAAATACTGAAAAAAGCACTAGCCAACAATTTCTCAACCTCAAAGATGCCTTTGCATACACCTTAATTTCACAAAGTGACGATGCATGCTATAGAGGCGGGTTATACAGCAGCTGTCATGACAGCGGTCCTTCCACTTCTTTCTACTTTCAACATCTTGACATCTCATTGTTCTGCTGTCCTATGCAGCCAAGACCTCTATTTGTTTTTTTCTAGTGACAGATAACACAGAGCAAAGCGAATGAACACAAAAACAGCAATAAGTGATTTTGTGATACTAAGTAGGGGAAAAAAAAACTAATTAATGCAATATTAAAGGATTATTTAAAAAAAAAAATTAAACTATTATATATTATAAGGTTTTATACTTGTTACATGAGAAGTAAATTTTTTTTACACATCATTCGATTTCTAATTTTTACATGATAAATATAAAACTCTATATTATATATATGTCTAACTAACCGAAAGAAAGATCATCAAGCCTCGAAATAAAAACTTGACATGTCTACATGGATTCAACGCGGGTCTTATCTCAAAAATATTGTTCATACAGATCCGAACCCGCCATTGGAAGAAAATAATTAAGAGTCTCTCAAATATTTGTATCATCATTAAAGTTGATACAGAAGAGAAATATTGCAACAATATTTGTATCATCATTAAAGTTGATACAGAAGAGAAACATTGCAACCATTAAATGTGGATTATATTTTTAAAAATAGTTGTAGCATTAAACTTGGATTATAAAAAGCATATTGTTTCTCACTTTAATTAATTATATTTTTAATATAATAATTAAAATAATACACATTCAGTAATACAAAGTAAAAAAACAATTAATTGCTAATTACTCGGAAATACCTAGAAAGTTTTCTTAAAAATACTGTGTGTAAGTGGCAAAAAAATATAAGGGAAAAAAGTATCTAATGTTACTTTAGATAACTTTGTCTAATGTTCATCAAAACGACGTCGTTTTGTGGTTGAAAAATTAAAAAATTAAAATGATAAAGACTATTATAACCTTGAAATAAATTAAAATTATGAAAACACCATGATTTCCGTCCCAAAACGACGTCGTTTCAATGAACATTAGATAAAGTTATCTAAAGTAACTTTAGAAAACACAAGCCCAAAATATAATTATCTAAAACATTATTATAATTATTTAACTTTTATATTCAAAGATTATTTTGTGTTATTTCTTTGTTTATTTTTACTTCATATTATAGTATAAAAGTATACGCTAAATACTAAAATAATAAACTAAAAAAGATATTTAATAAAGATAAAAATAATTAAATTATAAATGAGTCAAGTTTTAGCATTTTTTTTTCGCTAGCTAAGCATGAATTTTAAGTGTAATGCCACTAGTGATGGATTGCTCTCCCACGTAGTATTATCATAATTTTCATTTCTATATTTTAATAACTAAGAAATTTAGAAAAATAAAAGTTATTCTTTTTTAAAATTGGGTTTGTGGAGTAACAAGAAACGAAAGGAACATTGAATGAATACGTATATTGAATTGATACAGGAGAGTACAATATATAGAAACATTAATGGGCTTAACTAGACTTAACCTAAATCCTAATGAAATAAGAAAATTGATATTTATAAATAATACAGTTATTCTTTCCAACACTCCCCCTTAAGCTGGAGCATATAAATCATAAGCACCAAGCTTGTTACATATATACTCTATTCAAGGACCCCTGAAAGACCTGGTAAGTACATATGCTAATTGATCATTGGAGGGTGCAAAACTGGTCATAATTTCACCAACGAGGACCTTCTCTCAAACAACATGACATTATATCTCAATATGCTTGGTTCTTTCATGAAACACTAGATTGGAAGAAATTTGCAGTGCTCCTTGGTTATCACAAATGAGAGTTGCTGGTCCAGTGTCTTAAAACTTGAGCTCCCCAAGAAGTTGCTTAAGTCAAATGAGCTTGCAAGTAGTAGTAGTCATGGAGTAATATTCTGCTTCAGCACTTGATCTGGCAACTAACTTTGCTTCTTCCTTTTCAGGAAACCAAGTTGCCTTCAACGAAAACATAGTATCTAGTAATATATCTCCTATCAGTAGGACAACTGGCCCAATCAGCATCAGAGTATCCAACAACTTTAACATAACCTTTATCTTCATATTCAAGGCCTTTTCCTGAAGATACCTTGATATACTTGATAATACGAACGATGGCATTCCAGTGTTCTTCACATGGAGAATTAAGAAATTGACTTACCACAGTGACTACAAATGAAATGTCAGGTTGAGTGACTATGAGGTAATTCAGTTTTTCATCCAATCTTCTATACCTTTCAAAATCTGAAAATGGCTCCTCTTTATTTGGTAGAAGCTTGACACTTGGATCTATAAAGGTATCAACAGACTTGGAATTTAACAAAGCAGTCACTTCAAGAATATCTAGAGCCTATTTTCTCTGAGATATTGCAACACCATCTTTAGATTGAGCCACCTCAATTCCCAAAAAATATCAAAGTTTCCTTAAATCTTTAGTCTGAAACTTATGACAAAAATGTTGTTTCAACTGAGTAATCTCATGATTATCACTACCTGTGATGACAATATCATCCACATACACCAACAAGTAGATAGACCCGAAAGTTAAATGATGATAAAAGAAAGAATGATCAACCTCACTCCGAGTCATACCAAATTATTGAATAACACTGCTAAATTTGCTAAACCAAGCTCGTGGAGATTGCTTGAGGCTATATAGAAACTTGCGGAGATGACAAATAAGATATGACTCCCCCTGAGTAACAAATCTAGGAGGTTGTTCCATATAAACTTCCTCCACAATATCACCACGAAGAAAAGCATTCTTAATATCAAGTTGATAAAGAGGCTAGTGGCGGATAGCAGCCATGGTAATAAACAGACGGACATAAGACATCTTCGCCACTGAGAAAAAAGTGTCACCATAATCCAGTCCAAATACCTGAGTGAAACCCTTTACCATCAAGCAAGATTTAAGGCAATCCATTTAACCATCGGGATCAACCTTAAAAGCATAAATCCAATGGCAGCCAACAACAAATTTCACAGACAAAAGATGAACCAGATCTCAGGTGCCATTGTGATGAAGAGCAGTCATTTCATAATCATAGCCTATCTCCATCAGGAATGTAAAAGTGCTTCACATGTAGTCTTAAGAATAGACACAGAAGAGAAAGAGGAAAGACATGTATAATATGATGGAGAAAGACGATGGTAACTAATATTAACTGTTCTATGTCAAAGGTAATAGCTCTAAGGTTTGCAAGAATAGGGTTTTTTTACCATTGTGCCCCTAATTAAATAAAAAATAACCATTATGCCTCGAAATCAAAACATATCACCTGTCTGTCCCTGTTTGACCGTTGACCGAGTTATGTACTTAAGTACAGTGGTTGACACTCGAGTATTTTTCACAAAACAGTTTATACTCAGGTACACTGGTTGAGTACTCGACTATTGTTTTCCATATGCTTTTTCCAACATTATGTATTAGAGTACATGCGGGTGGGGTACTCGAGTATTCTTCATAAGCTGGGTTTTTTTTTATTAAATCCTTGTATCACACATTCCTGATCGTTGACTAGACCAAATAAATTATTATAATATCCACGTAATCGATTACACCAGCATACTTTAATCAATTACTTCAATGAAATGAGCCATATAAATTTTTTCCACGATATTTTTTGGATCAAACAAGTTTCAATGGTCATATACTCATAATATTGAACTTGACTCGGGTGATCTGTGGAGCGGCTTTGTGGTACACAAGACCTATTTGCATTATTACAAAATTTTGGTTATTTTACTGTAAAACTTCAGAAGGTCGTAACTTTTAACTCAGATGTACAAATTAGGTATTTTTTTAATCCAGGTAACTTTTTGAGAGTTAACAAATAATTTGTGTGGCGTATTTTATTTTTGTGAATGATGTTATTTAAATATTTACTTTCCAATACTTGCAAATAATCCTCCGAGAATTTTTACTATATAGATCTAAAAATGTTATGTGAAATAAAAAAAAAATCACTTGATTCGTACCATTTAGCTAAAAATTATTGTTTTCTGAAATTTTATAATAAAAACTCCTTATATTTGATTACATGACCCTCATACTAAGTACGAGAATCCTATACTCGAATATAAACTCATAACACGTGATTTACTCAAATATGTTGGTTACGTACTTGAATACAAGGATCAGTCAACAGTCAAATAAAAACAAATTGATATTATGTTTAGAAAAAATATAATATTTTTTAAATAATTTAAAAACAAAGACATAATAATTATTTTTTATTTAATTAGGTGTACAATAGTCAAAAAGTAATCGGCACTCTCCTTTCAGTCTCCTCCATATCAACATTTAGCGATCCATATTTTTAATCTTCGGCTGCAAAGAATCTATATGATGATTAGCCTTCAACTTCCTTCCCACTCAATCCTATCCTCTGTTTCCGTGGACTGCAATTTGTGAAAGCACATCAATCATATCCACAAGCTATTCCCATATATGAATAAGGTAAGCCGAATCAATCTAATCAACCAATTTATACAAATTCTTAATTTATCCCCTATTTTAAATAGAACATAAGATACTTTTATTCCATTTTTTTAAAAGAAAAATACCATATGCCTTATTGATTATCTTCATAATCTTAATAATTCACCTTAAATATTTATATTTTCGCATTATTATATTAAATATTTGTCTTCTTACTTACGTAAATAAAGAAATTATGAGCATTTAGTATTTTTAAAATTAAGAAAACATTAAATACAAGATTATGATAAAATAAAAACAAAAAATGGGCGAGTGTCAATGTGTCATGCCATAACATTGGCGAGCCCTACGTGGAAGAAGATTCTATATCTACATATTAACATATTCAACAATATTCACTACACCTCCCTGTCAGATTCTTCTAGAGTGAGAGAGAGAGAGAGAGAGAGAGAGAGAGATGCAGAGTTCTCAATTCGACGTTATAATCGTGGGAGGTGGCGTTATGGGCAGCTCCACAGCCTACCAAGCTGCCAAAAGGGGTCTAAGGACCCTTTTGCTCGAACAGTTCGATTTCCTTCACCAACGCGGTTCCTCTCACGGTGAGTCTCGCACTATTCGAGCGACCTATCCACAAGATTATTACTACCCTTTGGTCATCGAGTCCTACAAGTTATGGCAAGAGGCTGAGGCCCAAGTTGGCTACAAGGTCTACTTCAAGGCCCATAACTTTGATATGGGCTCACCCGATGATCCCACCTTCTGCGCCATCATCGACAACTGCCGCAAACTAGCATTCCCCCACCAAATCCTCCGCCGCGACCAGGTCGCCGAGAAATTCTCCGGCCGCATCGACATTCCGGTGAATTGGGTTGGGCTGTCCAACGAGTACGGTGGCGTGATAAAGCCCACAAAGGCGGTGGCCATGTTCCAGAAACTAGCCTCCGACCACGGTGCTGTGTTAAAGGACAACGCCGAGGTAACAGACATCAAGAGAGACACAGAGGGTGTCGTGGTTTTCACCGCGAGCGGTGAAATGTTTCGCGGTAAAAAATGCGTGGTGACTGTGGGGGCTTGGGTGAGCAAGTTAGTTAAAACGGTTAGTGGGGTTGAACTGCCGATACAACCTTTGGAGACTACCCTTTGTTACTGGAGGGTGAAAGAGGGGCATGAAGGGAAATTCACCATCGGCAGCGATTTTCCAACATTTGCGAGCTGGGGGAAGGTAATTATGTACGGAACACCAACGTTTGAGTACCCGGGTTTGATTAAGGTGGCGGTGAATGGGGGTGGCCCGTGTGACCCGGATAAGAGGATGTGGGGCCCCGCGGTGATGATAGACGTGTTGAAAGAATGGGTGGAAGAGAGGTTCATGGGGATGGTTGATTCCAGTGAGCCTGTGATGAAACAATCTTGCATGTACTCCATGACGCCCGATGAGGATTTTGTGATTGATTTCTTGGGTGGGGAGTTTGGGAAAGATGTGGTTGTTGGTGGCGGGTTTTCGGGTCACGGGTTCAAGATGGCTCCAGTGATTGGGAGGATATTGACTGAACTTGCGGTTGACGGGGAGGCAGACGGAGTTGACTTGAAGCCCTTTAGGATTGGAAGGTTCAAGACAACACGCCTCTAAGCTTTAAGGACCTTTGTCACCTTGTGTTTGTTTCTGCTTTCTTTTTTAGTACATGTTTGTTTCTACTTTCTAGTGTCGTGTCAGTGCAGTCTTGGTTCTTCCTAGGGAATCTAAATCAAGAGAACACTTCTTTGGTTTAGAATGAACCCCCTCCACCCAACTTGTACTCAAATAATTTTCATGTTAAGGTCGATTTGGATCATCATGTAATGCCATGTCAACCAAAAAAATAAACTCTTTCATTTGTTCACATCACCACTCGTAGACATGGGTTACTGATTTGTTTTTTTACAAAGCAAATATTAAAAATCATTTGAGGAACAAAACTATTTGTTGAGGTGGGTGCCAAAATTTTATCCTCGAGTACAATGTGCAATCTTTTAATTAAGCCCCTCAAATAGATGAAACCTACACCCTTTTCTAAAGTTTTAGTGCATGTGAGTGAGTGTATATTTAGCAGTTTACAACCTCACCTAGAATTTTCTGGTTCCACCCCTCATTATCATAATCAATCATTGGGAAAAGATGAGGTGTCCGAGGTGAAAGGTACACATCTTATCCTAGAGAACTACACCGTAAAACCTAAATTTTCAAACTGCTAACATATATTTGCGTGAATTCAAATATAATGAGAAAGTTGGTGGTCATGACTAGTTCCAATCATGCCTAGAAAGAATTTTAATTCAGTTACCAGATTCACTCATTATATAAGTGTTGAACCTAGACAGTTACACATCAACACACGTTTCTTACAATAAGTATAAATTTCATGTTTCATTATATTGAAAATCTAGTTGACAGAAGATTTATTTGAACTGGATTTAATACAAATTCCAGTACTAGTATGATTTACTCTGTATTGCAGAGTCTAGGATGATGGACTCAATGTAGATATTGGCCTATGCCAATCAGCACTCCCATTCATATACCCTCTTCTATCTCTATATTCTATAATTAAAGAAAAAACAATTTATTCATGTGTGTTGGGACTGTAGACAAGTAAACACGCAGTGTACCTAAATCAATAATAGTTCTTAATATCCAAACTCCAAAGTCCTTTTTCTCAAGCAAAACTATAAATAAAAAGACCACTGGTTCTACCTCCGAAATTTCCGAGCTTGTGCTAGCTCCCGTTCTAGTCTCTTCCACTTCAAGCAAATTCAGTTGTGATTCCTTCTCATGCAATGTCATATCAAGAATTTCTCCTCTGCGGGTCAACTCATCAACCTTACTTCTTTCTACTTGCAACATCGCATCTCAATAACATAATGTAAGCACTTTTTGACTAAAGAACTCAAAATTTGATGCATAGTTCTTCTAGACATTGTCCATGAAATGCTATATAAACAAAAGCATGTTTCCCCATTCTTCATGTCTAACGAATCATCATCATATTTTTCTTTTTCTTTTTCTATTTTTACCAACACTCCCCTATGTGAAGAATGTGAATAGATATTATCCTTATACAAGTTTCCTAATTGTAGTTTGCGCTCTGCACGTACGACATGTAAAATGTCAGCAAGTAATTAGGAATTTGTGCCATGAAATCGCGTTCTCTAACCCCTTCTCCATACTTCCTACACCATAGAGTACTCTCCTTTTTTTTTTTTGATACAATATGAATAGAGTACTCTCCTTTACCAAAGGATAATCAAACTCCTTGTCACTCGAACTAATCATATATTAGTATTGAAATATTGCATTTTCAATATTTTTTAATTTGAATATTATATTCTATAAAAACTATAATCTTGTTTATATTTTATCTAACTTTTATATTAAATAATCTATGGTATTTTCAAGTTTTAAAATATTCCTAAGAATTCTAAGCACGTTTAACGAGCCAAGGCAAAAAAGGTGAAAAAGCACAAGAGAATAAATGTTTACATCTCTTTATTCTACCCAGACGCACAATGTAACAAATCAGTTTTAGCCCAAGATCATATAACGAGCTTTAAAAAGCAACCTAAAGTTGTGTTTTTTTAATTGTTTTGGGCCTTATTGTGTAGAATTGATGGGCTTTGGATTTGAGCGAGTCGTAAATGGGTTGGGCCGCTACCGATCCACAAAAAACAAAGTAGGGCGAGTTGGCCAGCCTCTTGAATACTCTTTGACCCACCCTTATGCTATACGGTTTGAAATGGATTAACGAGTTGAAAATCTCATCTCAACCCGTCCTGTTTTGACGGGTTGATAGGTTAACCCATTGGTTCAATCCGTTTTACCACATCTAAAACTATGTTATCGTCAACGATCCACAAGCCTTACCATGTCGTTTGGACATTAACAGAGTCAGATGTCAGGAAGGTATAACATCTAGGCCCAACACCCAAGTCATATAATAGTATAAAATAATTTCACACTAACAGTATATTAAAATTGAGTTCTTAAATAATTTCGCACTAACAGAAATTGAGTTCAGTAGTGTAAATCATCCGGTATTCGATTATTAATGGCGCTGACTATTCTAAATTTCAACTGAAGACGACCATGCAAAGATAACAAATTCTCTCTGTACCAAAATTTCAACTCATATTTACGTGCTTTTACTCATATCAAGATTATAATTATGCTCAGTCAGACGTAATGAATTTGAGTTATTTTTTATCTATTAATTTATTAATTATGGGATCAATCCGGCTCGAACTGATCTCTTATCAAGTTATTAATATAACTACTCACAACCTGAATTTAAAATTACTAATTAAATTGAAAAATTCAGTTTATCAGTGATCACTTTGAATTTTTTTTAATGTATTATATATTAAGATTTACGATGTAGCCGCCAGTAGAAATGACCAAGTTGAACAATCTCCGTCATTTTCTGTTAGAAATTCTCTAGTATGTTTTTTAATCATTTAGTGCACGATGACGAAAATTCATTATATGACTCCAAAACTGTTATCGCACAAATTCTTGCTCAAACACTGATAAAAAAATTGCCATCGCCAATTCAGCTGATTCCTACCAGCCAAACATTAACACCGCAAAAAGAGGATTACAACCCCCCAAGCTTAAAACAAAGGAACACTCAACGCATCTAGTGAGAAATGACCTACCACAATCAATTGGGTATTCATAATTAAAATTGTTAAAAGGACAAAACATTACTAAACAAATTAATTTATTAATTTTATTGGCCAAATTGACAGCTGACTTACACAGGCCCCTTGAGTGGCGATTCAAGTCATTAGCAATCATAAACATAAATAATAAATTACTATTAAACAACTTCCATTTTTTAACCTTAAAGCTCTATATTCATACAATAGTTCACCAATTTGATTATATATATTATAGAGTTCTATTAATTTTCTGTTGCTGCATAAAAGTTATCTGCAACTAACACATGCTTTTTAGGATATAGTTTCATATCCTAAAAAACACGTATCTCCTGCAGATAATTTCTCTTTCCTGCCGTCTGAGAGACATATTTTCCTATATTATAAACAGTTAATGTGAGAATCTTCATTATATATAATTGCAACTTTGCGGAAGGTCCAATAATTTTTTCCTTAGTGCACTACAGACAGTGTTCCCCTCTTATTTAAGAATCATTTAGGTCAAGGTCTTAGAATAATCTCAAATATATTCATTAGATATGCTTTTATGTTGACGGTGGACAAACGACTTTTACACAATGGGATGCCATATTGATTAATATAATAAATGAATAAATCGCAACTATATGAGTTAGACTTTGTGCTTGAGATTCTGATGAGTTTTTTAATATTATTGAAAACGTCATAGGATAGCCAAGAAATGGAATTAAAATATAAGGGGTCCTCTCAAACAGTACTAGAGAAAATGTGATAATTGTTTTTATTGGCGACATTATATGTAACTAGGAATCAAATCCTCAACCATATCCTTTTAGAATGTTTTTTAATGTCGTGCAATAACCGAATAACTTATAAACGTTATAGTCAGTCATTTTCATTATTTACAACAGAGGTTGAGCGATTGGTATTTTTTTATTCTTTCAATATGTATTGTAAAAAAAAAATTGAACTGTTTTGATGTGAAAGATGAAAATCTTCCATAGGTTATAGTTTAGTCATAATTATCATATTAGATTTTCAGTTTCTCTTAAATTGTAAATTTTCAGATCAAGGATTTCACTGTACCAAAAAATAATCAAAGTTTTCAGAATATTTTATATGATATTGGGGCTTTTTTTGGAAGAATAAAAAAACACGAAGAATAAGTATGTGGGGGAAGAAGGTTGATTCATTGCAGGGAACCACGTAATCACTAGCAGACAAACTATTGTTGACATTTATTGTTTTTCAAACCACTTGATTCATTTTAACATGCATCTGATCAAAATAAAATGGGATTTTAAGGCTCTGTTTGTTTATTGTTTTCAAAAACAATTTTTTAGTTTTCAGAACAAAAAAAATTCGTTTGGTAAGGCTTGTTTTGTAAAAACTGTTTTGAAAACTATAACTGTTTTTTTGTTTTTAGAATCAAATTTAGAGAACATGTCTGAGTTGTTTTTGTTTTCTGTTTTGGTTTTTAACTTTCAAAGAAAAATAAATATAGAAAACAACTGTTTTCATAACTATTTTACAGAACAGTTTTAAGAATAAAAAAACCAAAACACAATCAAACAGGCCTTAAGTTTCTCCTGATACTCGGAAACACTCCAATTTTTTTGTACAGAGAAAAATTGTGGGATCTATGTGCATTATTTTTTTTATTAAAAAAAATAAAAATCATATTTTCGTGTGACTGTGAGTGGACAGTAATTACTTCCAGCAACATAAGAAAACATTCTCCCAAATAAAATATGAAAAAAATATTTTTTCAGTCATTCGAAATAAAATTATCTCAAGTGAATTCAAAACGACATCATTTTGAGTTTATAAGATTAAAAAATTATAATGATAAAAAGTAATATAATCCTGCAATATATTAAAATTGTAATACGTTGATTTTCGTCCCAAAACGATATCATTTTGGACTCATCGAAAATAATTTATCTCCATTAACTAAAGAAATCCTTTACCCATAAATTATACATAAATAAAGCATAAACCTTACTATAAGGTTAGTTTATTTTATTTTATTTGGCGAAAACGCATGGCGGATTTGAAACCAATTAAAATGGTAGAGTTCAACATAGAGATAAATCATGTCGACTAATAAATTTAGATTTGAAATAAGTGGCATAAATAAAAAGGGGTTTGATTTTCTCATGTTAAATGATAATTCAATTTTCATGTTGTAGAGATAAAAAGTATGTGGGACCCATGTGTTAGAAA